CCCCCCCCCCCCCCCCCCGTTTGCTTCGTTCTGCTTCTTGATGGAGATTTGTTCCTCAGAGGAAAGTGCCTGACTCTAAGGTGACATTAAGTGTGTGGAATTCTTTTTCAAGTTTGTATTAAAGCAAAATGAATAATCTGTAAATACACATATAAAACCATAGTGTAAGTTCCTGAATATAATCCAATAATGTTTTTCCTGTGAAGACATTTAAGCAGGATGGGCACGTGCACCTTCTGTCAACAGGGGTCCATGGATTGTATGTTCCCGAGGGACAAGATGTTTGGCCGGGACAACCAGCCAGCATATTTCTGGTGTTCTGTGAGCCTAAGACCCTATTAATGAATTCTTGTCTTTGAAATAATTCTGCTTCTTTCTGATTCTAAAAGTAATGGGCAGTATAGAAATTTAGAAAGCTGACATTGATAGGGACAAGTACTGGTCACATTTTTGGGTGTTTCTTTACAGTTATTACTGATACACTTGCCCAGTTCTAGGTATCTATAGTTGTATGTTGCTTGTTCCTGTTTAACACTTAACCTTGAGATTTTCTCATCTTTATTAGATTCTTCCTAACAATTATTTTTTAAAAAATGTTTAGTAACTCATTGTTGATGTGCTGGCTTCTAACTGCCGCCTTCCAATTTGACCCTTTGCCGAGAATCTGCCTTTACACTCCAGACACTTGGAATCAGAATCTACACTTTAATAAGATCCCAGGTGTATTCTTAATAATCCAGAGATTGTTTAGAAAGCAGGTCCTGGTTCTGTGTGCCTGGGGTGGGAAGACAGCTTATCAGCAGGAAGTCAGATAGAAAAGACACCAGGAGCCCAGACGCTGGTCTCTGAAGGAGCCGCATGTGTGGTGTTCATCCCATCCCTTTCCACATTCTCTGTTGGTGTTTGTGAAGGTGAGGCACTATTTTATTATTATTATTATTATTTCAGCTGTTGTTGTTGTTACTTGCCATCAAGTTACCTGCGACTCAAAGAAAGCCTGTGTACAACTCTGAACCTGCCCTGTCCTAAGCCAGTCTCACTGACTTCTACACACATACCCCCATTGCACCAATTACTGTGTCAATCCATCTCGTCCGGGGTCGTCTTCTCCTGCGGTGACCCTCCACTGTTGACAAGCATGATGTTCTTTTCCAAGGAACGGTCCCTCCTGGCCACATACCCACAGTATGTGAGACGGAGCTTCATAATTCTAGCCTCCAAGGAGAAATTTGGTTTCACCCTCTCCAAGATAGACCTTTTATTTTCTTGGCAGTCCATGGTATGTTCAAGACTCCACCAGCACCACAACTCAAAGGCTTCAATTCTTCTTCTGTCATTTTTAGTCATTGTCCAGCTCTCTGATGCATTGCAAGTAATTACTTGCATTTCACTAGTAGTTGGGGTGATCTGCACTGCAGTCCCCCTCAGTCTACCACCCCTGGCCCTCCCCTGCTTGCTGACCTCCATGCCGTGTCTCTGCAGTGACCTCTGCGACCTTGCGCTCTTAAAGCCCCTGTGGAAGCTCTTCACGCACATGGAGTACAGCCTGTTTGAGGACATGACGCAGCCAGGCATCCTCCTCCCCCTGCACCGGGCCCTCACGGAGCTCTTCTTCGTCACTGAGAACCGTGCCCAGGTGAGGACAGCCAGCCTAGGCCTTGCATAGAACAGCCCCCTCAGCAGCAGGTCGGGAGCAGGGACTGGCAGCCCCTGCCGCAAGCCCTGGGGTCTTAGCATCTCAGCAAACTTGCCCAGGCTTGGAGAATTGGCCTCCGGGCAGGTCCTTGCCTCTCCCCAGCTTGCGAAGCCCAAGGTCAGCATCAAGGCTGTTTATTTTGTCAGGATTAAAGCCAAGGAAAGGAAACCGCCTTGGCCCAGCCCTTGCCAATAGTGAGTTTTGGAAACTAGAACGCATAGGTCCTTTCTTCTTCCTCCTCTTTTTTTAATTTTTTTCCCCCCTCAGCATAATAGAGTTATTGATTGTGAGAGATGAAAGGGCCTTTGAAAGCTCTTTAGTTTGTTCACCTCATTTTGTGCATGAGGGTCCTGACCTCAGGACGGGGCCCCTGCCCAGGTACCTTTAGGTTAGTATGGGTAGGTGGTGGAGTTAGCCTCCATTGAGTCCAGTGTGATTCATAGTGACCCTAAGAACAACAGATCTGAATTGTGTCCTGACCTGTACCATCCTCATCACCTCTGATACACACGAACCTGTTGCTGCAGTCACAGTGTCAATCCATCTAGTTGGGAATCTTCCTCCGTTTTGCTAGACCCCAAACCAGGCACCTGGCTTCCAGCTTGTTCTGCAACCTGGAGGTGGTGCCATGACATAACCCATGGAGTGGGCCCAGTTATCCCTTGAGGTTTCTCTTGCTGCGGGTGCGGGTCTGCCAGCACCCTGGGCCTTTGGTCCTGTGCTCACAGAGGCTGTCTTTTCTCCGCAGGAGTTTGGCTTGCTTCAGGAGTACCTGCTGGCCTTAACCACCGACGACCACCTTCTCCGCTGTGCAGCACAGGTACTCGCCTGCCAGGGCCCCCCAGACCTCAGTGGGGTGACGCACTCTCCCAACTGCGAAGACACGGGACCTCTGTGCATTGCATCACTGGCAGATCTTGAGTTTCCTTGGCTCTCTGTTCCAGTAATTTCCTTCCAGTTTCCAAAGCGAATCGTCAAGCCTCATTTATCTCTGTCCTTCATATTTAAACGCAAGGGTCAGAGGACACAAGTAACAATTTCTGTCTTTAAAGCCAAGCCTTAAATTTACAGTTTGGCTCATCCCTAAAGTTTCCATAGAGTTGGGTTTCAGATATTTCTGGATCTAAAATGCTTCCTTGATAGGAGAAATTCTCAGGACTCCTTTACACTTAAGTTACTGAGGACCCTATGCTCTCACTTATCCGCCATAGTATATGTTAAAAGCCAAGAAGACTTTTCAACATTTATTTAACTTCTTACTTTACAGTAATAAGAAGCATGTTTCATGTTAACATAAATAGCATGGTTTATGGAGGAAACAGCTGTATATTTTAAAACTAAAAGCTGTTGAGAAAGGTGACCCTGTCCCACACTCCTGCTGGTCTCTGTAATGCCTGACTCGGTAGAATGCAGCTGGCTTCTTGGGTCTGTTTCCGCCTTCAGGCTGTATCCTCACTCATTCGTGTCTGGAAAACTCCATTCTACACTCGGTTGAAAGTGGAAGTAGAAAAGGCAAAATAATGACTGGTTTTGTGAAAATAAGGACCCACTGAAAGGATCTCAGAAAGGATCTCAGGAACCCCCAGTGCCCTGGTGGAAGGTCTCGCTTTGAGAAGCTCTGACTTACAGAGCATGTGGTGTGTCCCCCCACCCCAGATTCCAGGGGGAGCCATGGGGCTGGAGGAGGGAGAGATGCTTGTAGGGCCACCACTCAGTGAGCTTCATGCTTGGCCCCCCTGCCAGAGCCCAGTCCCACGCTCTGTCTCAGAAGACCTCCTGGGGGCACCCCTTCCTCGTGAAGGAGAGAGGCTCCTTTCTTGATGCAGGCTTTGCAGTGTCTGCTTAGCTATGGAAACCCCAGGTCAGCTACATGTGCGTTTGTGTGGTTTCTCTTGCACTCTGTAGACGGAGTGAAAACTCCCCTCTTACCAGACAGCCTTCAGCATTGCTGCCACCTCTACTTGCTGAGGCTTGCTGACCTCATACAGCTAAAAGATGAGATTTGGCAGTTTGGGCACAGAAAGTGCACAGTGTCATCCTGTGGTCTTCTCTCCCCCAGCCCCCCATATTAGTGCTACTACATCCAGTCCTCACCCTCACTCTGACCCTTCCACAGCTCATGGAGTAGACCAGGTCCGTGTTCTCGGAGCCTCCTTGTCCTGGCCCCGCCACCTCAGTTTACACATGAGGAAGCTGAGCCGAGGGCCTGAGGATCAATAAGGGCAAAGTCAGGCACCTGGCTCCCAGGCCATTGCCACCCATAACCTGGAGGTGGTGCCTGAGATGCCTGGAGGGTGGCCCCCTGTGGAGGGCAGTACTTGCACAGAGGCCTCACTCAGCCCGGCTCTGGCCTAGCGATGTTTTCTGGACCCCCTGGTCCCCTAACACTGGCTGTTGCTTTGTGTGTAACATCTCCCTCAGCGATGTTCCCTTTTCCTGAAGATCCTTCCCAGCAGTGTCTTCTGTCCCTTTCTCCTGGGAGTGGAAGGTCTGCCTTAGGCCTGGTGTTTCCATGTGATCTCTGTGGTGCCTCTGTAGCCTGAACTCTCCAGGTGAGGGGGACTCATCTGGCTTCTGTCTGCCCCTGAATGCTCAGCCGTGGTGGCTCTTAGAGAGTCAACACTTAGTGATGTGCCGGTGACCACATCTTGATATTCGATTTATTCTTATTGCCTCCCACAGGCTCTGCAGAACATTGCTGCTATCAGCCTGGCCATCAACTACCCGAACAAGGCCACCCTCCTGTGGAATGTTGAATGCTAGCCCTTGGTATGGCATGCATGACTCTGACTAATCTGCCCACAGGACTGTAGAACAGACATCTAAACTCATTCAGGAAAACTCCCGTGGCGTCAGTGCCCGGCTCTATGTGAGCCCTCACTTCCACTCTGATAAGAAAACAAAGCAGCCGTGTCTCCAAGAACTCCAGCATCAGGACTAGCCCCGTGTGCACACCACAGCATGTGAGAAAGAGCAGAGCTGTGCAGAAGCATTCAGGGAGGGCAGCCAGAGGCCCTTTGAAGGTTGTTCACAAACCAGCCTTCCCCATGGTCTGTCTGTGCAGAAGGCCTGGAATAAGCCTCTCTGGGAGAATTTGGCCTCAGCTGAGCTGGACTATTTGCACTCGCCCTTTGGATGATGACAGGGTCTGCCCAGAGCCACCTTTTCAGCAAGTCCTGCGGCAGCAGAGGCCTGGTGTGGGACCTGTTCTTTTGCTTTGCTTCTTGAGACTAAGTAATCCGAACCAAACTGGGGAGCACCCTCCTGGCCACCACCTGAGCCCCACGCTTTCAGGATGGGTCTGGGCGTCTCTGCAGCCCAGCCCGTCTCCAGGCTCATCAAAGAGAACAAGTGCCCTTGAGCAGTGCGGCCTGCGCCACCCGCAGCTGCCGGCCCCCACACGCTGGTCAGCCCTCAGCCCTTCTCCCTTGTCCTCCCTTGTTGCTGTTCTAACGCAGTTCTGTTTGCACTGCATGGTTTTAGGAAAAACTGTTCTGGATTCTGAGAGGGCCTTGGGGTGGCTGCAAGGACAGACTTGGTTTACATGCAGGCAGCAGAAGCTGAGGAGTATGTTTTCGTTTCTGTACCTAAAGGTCCTCGGGGATACATTGCTTAAACATCTTGGCTACTAACTGAAGGATTGGTAGTTTGAATCCACCAGCTGCTCCATGGGAGACAGATGTGGCTTCCCTGCATCTAATTTGTGACCCTCCAGTGGCTTTGCAGAGATTGTATATCACACAGGAGAAAGGAGATTACCTGTCTTCTCCCCACAGAGCAGCTGATGGATTTGAACCCCGTTCCTTTGGATTGGCAGCGCATCTCCATAGCACTAGGCCGCCAGGGCTCTCCTACCCTAAAGATGATAGTTTCGGAAATCCTCTGGGATAGTCACACCCCGTCCTGTAGGATCACTGTGAGCCGGAATTCACTCAACAGCAGAGGTCTTCAGGGGGTGAGGGCAGTCGATAGCTGAAGACTTGAAATATATCAAAAGAGATCTTATTTTAGGAATTTTTTTAAAAGCATGATTTTATCTCTGCTCGATGGTCACTTACCCTGGGGACTCTGTCACTTGTCTAGCAATAACTACAGTAGTTCCAGCAAGGACTGTTTTCCCTTTTACTCCGGTTTTAGTCTGCCCTGAAGCGCTGGTGATTGTTCTCTCTGAGCCACTCTGGAGCATGAGGTCGAGCACGGGGCTGCAGACGGCCTTAGTGGCTCTTCTGAGAATGAGCAGCACCCGAGCGGGCTGCTGTTGGGGTGTGGGGCAACCCCGAGGAAGAGTCTCCGCAGCCAAGGGCCCCTTGTGGGATGGCCAGGACCCAGTTTGCCTCTTGACCTCAGAAACCCCTCTTCGAGGTTTGCGGAAGTCTGGATGGGAGGAGTCTGGGAGCTTCATACCAAAAGGGAACTTCCACCTTGTGGATCAGGACAAGGAGCAGAACTCAGCACAGCCCTAGAATTAGTCTCCGAGCATTTGGAGCCCTCACAGACGGGACAGTTTGAAGGAGGCAGAAATAAACAGGTGGGAACCTGGGGTCGTCTGCCCTGGCATGGTGGCCTTAGGGACCAGCCTAGCTAGAGACCCTAGACCTGTCCTTGTCACCCCATGTCATTGGGACCTGAGTAGACAGGTGTGCTGTCTGCTCAGTGTAAACCCTTTTCCCATCTTTCTCTTTGCCAAAGCTAGCCTTGCTTTGCAAGCTGCTTGCATCCTCAGAAAAAAAAACCCAAACACAGCCCCTGCCACCCTTATCCAGGGACAGAAACCTCAGAGAACAGGTCTTAGGGCTCAGAGTCACCCAGACAGCCTGGCAGGTGGACCAGGAGGGGTGCATCCCTGACCCCGCCCCTACCGCTCAGGGTAAGGGGTGGTCCCACTCGGCTGGGCAGCAGCCACTGGCCCTGCTCTCCACCCTCCCATCAGGAAGATAAAATGTAAATAAACACTGGGCTCCTCCACGCTCTCCATGCACCGCCCCCTCTGCTTTGGTCCCTGTCCCTCCATTTGCCTGGAAGCTTGAGTTTTACTGAGCTCACAGCTGCTGTGTCCGCTGCAGGGCCCTGCTCGCCTCCCTGCCTCCTGTCACTTCCACCTCCTGCCACTGAGGGGCACTGCCGAGCCACGGTCGGCTCCTAAGCCCTCACAAGGCCCAGGGCTCCCCACGCCTGGTCCCCAGCCAGGCGAATGGTGTCTCAGCAAGTCACCAAGATCAGCGTCTCAGTGACCGTCCAACGGGGCAGGACTGAGCACGCCGGCAGGAGTAAAGGTGTCCTGGGAAAATGTGCCTAATCTGTAAAGAAAATCTGTTCCAAATCATAGATATTGTACAAACGCACCGTTCCTAATGAGAGGAGTGACTTATTTTCATCATTGTTTTTAATTTGTTTTCTTACGGGTTTACAATTTTGAATTTTTCTTATTTAGTTGAAAGAAAGAATTTTGATTATATCAGCTGGGTAAGTTCAGCCTGTAAAAAGGATGTTAAATTGTGAGTAAAATATGCAAATGAAGAGAAATATATTGTACAAATTCTATATAAAAAGAACACAGTTGCGTGTGGGTGATTTCCCCCCCCCCCCTGCTCCTTCCTCCTTGTCTTTCTAACAGAACTTAAATGTTCCTGGAGTTTTTACCCCAAACCCAAACTGAGGGCATTTCTGGAATCTCAGGGTAGAAAGGAAACAGAAAGATCCTCTAGCCCATTCTTGAGTGTCCCCTGAGCTCAGAACATGTCCCCTCTCATCACGTACACCCCACCCCTGCAACCCCCCAGGAGACGGGCCCATGCTTCTCAAGCAGTGCAGAACCTCAGATTCACCCATGCTGCCAGGACTGCCAGGGAGCTGGCCTCTGCCTCCACCTCTGTGCCCTTTCAGAGGTTTGTACACCCGCTGTGTACCCAATCAGCCCCTCTCCAGCCACACAATCCCCTCCCTGCCCCACCTTCCACCACATTGTAGCTCAGATGCCAAATGTGTCCAGAAAGGAGGAGAGCAGGGACCAGAACCTGGGATGTCCTGCTCTTCCAGCAACTAGTTCCCTCCTTGCCTGCCTTTGGGCCCAGTCCCTGGGTTAACTCAGGAGGACCTGAAGCGCTTGCTGCAAAGGGTCGAGGACTGCAGCCTCCAATATGGATTGAAGCTCAATGTCAAGAAGACAAAGATTCTCACCACTGGACCAATTGACAGCATCAGGATGGATGGTGAAGAGATTGAGATTGTACACAGCTTTAGTTTGCTTGGCTCCATAGTCAACAGTCTTGGCACCAGCAGCCAGGAAATTAAAAGGCCCATTGCAATGGGAAAGTCTGCTGTTAGGGACCTCTCCAAAGTGCTGAAGAGCAATGGTGTCTCTCTGGAGACTAAGGTGCGTCTGATACAGGCCATGGTCTTCGCAATCACCTGTTATGCATCAGAGAGTTGGACAATGACCAAGGAGGATAGAAGGAGAATTGATGCCTTTGAGCTGTGGTGCTGGAGAATAGTATTGAGAATACCATGGACTGCTAGGAAAACAGATTTGTCCTGGAAAGGGTTAAACCGGGTGGCTCCTTGGAGGCAAGGATTCTGAGGCTCCGTCTAACATACTTTGGACATGTGAGGAGAGACCGGTCCTTAGAGAGGGACATCATGCTTGGGAGGGTGGAGGGACAGTGCAGGAGGGGAAGGCCCTCTATGAGGTGGATTGATTCAGTGACTGAGGTAATCGGGATGGGTGTGTCAGAGACAGTGTGATTGGCACAGGACAGAGTGGAGTTTAGGGCTGTTGTACATAGGGTTGCTATGAGTTGCAAGCGACTCTACAGCACATAACAACAACCACACTGCTCATAGAGGAACAAAGTTATAGTACTAGAGGTAGAGTCCAGATTGGAAGTCAATCAAAATGAGGAAAACAGCAGCAAACCTCCTTCAATAATAGGCAAGTGTGGAATGCACAAAGCATGAAGGTTGGAAAACTAGAAGTCAAGACGAAATGAAACGAACACATGACCATCAACATTCTAGGCATTAGATGAGATGGACTAGCTTTGGCCACTTTGAATCAGTCACATGGTATGCTATGGTACACTCTGGTGGGAATGAAAAACAGAAGAATGTTGCATTCATAGTTAGATGATTTCAAGTTCTGTCCCAAAGTACAATGTTATAAATGATAGGATATTAGCTCTACGCATTCAAGGACAATCTGATAATACGACTTATTCAAATATACTCTCATACAGCTGAAGACAAAGAGGAGGAAATTTTAAAAAATTGTTACCAAATCTGAAATTGACCAAATATACAATCAAGATATGCTAATGATAATTAGTGACTAGAATGCAAAAGTTTGAAACAGTGAAGAAGGAATGGTAAGTAGTACGGATTTGATGGTAGGAATGAGGCGGGAAATAGAATGACTGGATTTTGTATGTTCAGTGATACATTCATTGTAAATGCATTTTTTTAAAACACGATTTTACACATGGACCTCACCTGACGGAGTGCATAAGAATCAGATTGCCTGAATCTGCAGAGGAAATCGCTGGGGAAGCTCAGTATCAGCAGTCAAAACCAGGTCAGGAGCAGAATGGAACAGACCATCAGTTACTCCTCATGTCCAAGTTCAAATTGAGGCTGAAGAAGATTAAAAGAAGTCCCCAGGAGCCAAAATAGGATCTTAATCCTATCCTGCCTGAATTTAAAAATCATTTTAAGAATAGGTTTGAAGCATTAAACATCACTGATCGAAGATCAGATGAGCTGTGGGAAGA